AGGCAAGACTTTTCAAGTAACTGGCTGGAAGATTGGTTGGACAGTCGGCCCCGAACGTTACATTAGTGCTATGCAAATAATACAACAGAACACCGTTTATACCTGCGCCACCCCATTGCAGGTGAGCAGTACTATTCACTCACACGCAGGGCTGTTATACTGTTTCCTGTTTGCGATGCGTCTTCAACACTGGGTGTTTTTTCATTGCCTATCTGTTTTGTTTTTTCCACAGGAAGCACTTGCTATAACCATTGAGCATGAGCTGCCGCTGCTTGGCACTGAGAAGAGTTTCTTCCACCAGATAACACAGGATATTATGCGGAAAAGCCAGCGAATTGCGGACGCGCTAAAGAAAGTCGGAATGCCAGCCATTATTCCGCAGGCTGGCTACTTCCTGTTGGCTAGCATTGAAAAAATGCGTAAGTCTTACGATTGCAGCCCCTGTGCTGCCGGTAGGGATTCTGTGTGGGGCAGCCCATTAAGGGGATATAGTAATAACAGACTACTTTCAATTGTTCAGTAGTCAGGTTTGTCACACATTTCCAATTGCTTTGCTGTGCGTCGTCACTTTGTGACTGCGTAGGAGTCTCATATTTCAGACCAGATTGTGGAGCTTAACTGTCGAATTAATTCAGGACAGGGCCTAACCATGGGCGGTCAAATCCAATAGCTTTGTGGCATGATATGTGCGCCATCAGACTGATTTCGCTAATTAAGTCAGGAGCAGGATGACAAAGACAATGAAGACTGGAATGGTCACTTCAGACTAAGTAAACATCATCAGAAGTTGACTTCGCCCAATAGATTTCAAAACGACAAAGCTTTTGAATGAAGTTTGTTTTTAGCAACCTCGGTGGGCTTCAAGTCCCATGACAGCAAGGATGAGTTTTGAGTCCAGCCAACGATCTAACCGACGGAGGCCCCGACGAAAAGCCGTGAAACTCCCGCCCAGCCTTCGACAGCGTATAGACTCCACCAAATCTAATGGATTAAACTGCCTGTTTGAGCAGGATTCCCTAAACGATCAATCTGCAATCTTCCAGCTGTCTACCAGGCGCATTTAATTAATAGGGAATTTTGGCAGATTTGGATAATCAATTTGACCTAATTCTGAAAAACTTGGTCGCCTCGTTTAAATTCAAATCCCAAGACAACGGCTTAAGTACAACCAACTCTCTTACATCCCGAGATATGAGGTCACGAGAACGCTCAGTTTTTTTTACAGTTCACCCAACCTACCGCAATCCACTCGGCTCGCTTCTCTAGCAGACATTTTTCTTTGAATTGACCTTGCCTGTGTTCCCCTCGCAGCTCATATTTGAACGCGTTCCGTTTCCTTCTCCCGTGTTCCTCCAGCTCTGCCGGAGAATTCGACGCAGTCTGGGGAAAAGCAAACGAAGGACGTTGCTTTCAACGAGTGGATGATGATAAATAAGGGCGTTGCTGCGGTGCCACCCACTGTGTTTTGTTGCCAAAAGCATCAACAGCTCTTCGAGAATTACCTCCGCTTCTGTATAATAAAGGTAAACATCGAATGTTTTGTCATCATACATTCCACCGTTGCCTCATGCATATTCATTTTAATCCTCAAAATTCTGCTCGACTCGGGATCCGTAATTGAGTTTTCCAAGACCTTGTCCATGTGCGCCCTGTCGTCCAATAGCTAAACACGTTATGGGCTGTCATAGTCAGGTAGCACTAGGTTGGTGTTCACCCAGCCACATACTTCAAAGTTTTGCCAGGCTAAGTGAATGAATTTTGTTTGAGGAGTCACCAATCTTCTCAGAAATGTACACTGTACCACTTTCTAGAACTACTTTTTGCCTAGGAACAAGAAGGACTCCACAGAAACAGGTTGTTCCGAAAATGCTCCTAAGTCAGCATCGTGTGGAGCCGGTTTTTGCCGTAAGAATTTATCTGAATTCCTTGGGAACCCCTGGGAGGGTGCCAGGTATAAGTTGTAAATATATATCTTTTATTAGGACATATAATCGTAAGACAGAGAATCCAGAATGGCCATTTCTGGATTCTCTGTCTTACGATAATATGTCCTTAAAAAGATAACAAAATGTTACTGCATCTTAGTAAGCAACATTACAATTAGCCATGTGGCAAAGTTCGGGGGTTCTCGAAAACACTGGGCATCACAAACCAGGACGGGTGTGCCCTGTACCTGATCGGTGTATGCCTATCTTCTAATATAATGGGACTGGGGTGTTCTTCCGATCTATCTGATTTTGGACATACACTTATCCTGGTGTGCCTTGAGGCTCGTACTTAAGTGATTTCAGGCTGTTGCTTAGCGACCTCAGATATATGGTGGAGTGGGTCCGGCAAAGCAAAGGGAAACCGCAATGGCCATTGTTAGTCGTCATAATATATCTGAGGTCGCTAAGCGACAGCCTGAAATCACTCATGTACGAGCCTCAAGGCACATCGGGACAAGTATATGCCCAAAATCGAATAGATCGGATGAACACCCTAGTTCCATCATATTCACGATCACGATCTTAGTCGACAAAGCAGCGAGCCCGTGGTGCAATGGTAAAGTATTAAACTCAATGACCAAAGGTCCCGGATTCAGATCTCAGGGTACCCACCCTTGAAATCGGGTACAACTGGCTGATGACGTCTAAAAAGCCAGAAATGGCCATTCGGGCCTCCCTTTGCTTTGTCGGATCCACTCCATATATATAAGCAAGTCAGGCAAGCATTTCACACACTGCTGTGGTTATGATCTTGCTCAATCCCATTCTACATAAGACCTGTGGCGTACTAACAATCGATGACAACCATGAAACAGCCGTCTGCGTTTGGTCTGTTGCACACTCAGCAGCATATTTATGTACAAGTCAGTCGCACAATGACTTGTAATAGATGTTGTTTTGGTTCCATTTCATATATATGTAAGGCACGGGGGACCGGAAGGACTATTTCTGGCCTATTAGCCATAATAAGTCAGTCGTGGATCACCAAAGATTGGAACCCGCTACCTTTGTATACTAAGCGCTTCTTGCAAATCAGTCTGTTACAGTACAATTGACAAGTCCGCCTTAACACACCTAGGTAAACATGGCTCAGCGGTAAAAAAACAACAGATCTGCTCTTGTGGGTATCTGTGCATGTCCTAGTCATTAGAAATGTATGTGTGTGGTACAGGCTACGCATCCTTGGCGTTTGCCCATTCATTAAAGATTGAGAATTACACAGGAGTTTTTTTCTTGGATAAGTCACTTTAGGTTACACAAGCATTGAAGAATCATTATGGGTGCGTTCATTGTCCTTTTTGTTTCTTTTATTTCAGGATGACGCTACGATTGACAAATTTGTTGAACGGCTGAATAATTGGTAGAAGAATGTGCCCTTGCCCAGGATACTTGTTTCTTTACTTATCATAAAGCTGTGGTTTCTACTTACCTATTATCTTTTTCCTTTGGACGTAACGCCAGAAGTGTGTACGTTACATTTGGGGTATCCCCAACCGAAATTGATCTCGCCTAAAACTGAGGTCCTCCTTCTGTCAAAGTCTCTTTTTCTATATAGCATCATTGGAGGAACTAAGAAATAGCTGTTCGTTAGGGATCTCTTACGTGTGCTTCCCTTCCTCCTCCTCCACAGGCAGCATACCGTAATACCGGTGGCTTTGAGCAAAATTCGAGGGAACTTGCGATTGACGTTAGAGTTAAGCTTAGGGTTAGGGTCAAGGGCGGTTGGGTAAGGGTTACGTTTCCGGATTCGGTTAAGTTTTGGGTTAAGACACGGGAATCGAACACTTGGACACGTCAACGCTAATCAGCGGCAAACAGGCAGATCAAAGTTCATGTGTCGAGCGCGGAGTTAATGTCAGGCAGGCGTCATGGCCGAATCAGTCACGGTCAGCAGAGAGAACCACCACTTTACTCTGGTGATGGAACCGAGAGTGCTTCCGAAACGTATGTTTAAATGTACTTCGGTCCATGTCCTTTATTACTTATCTTCTTTGGAGGATAGTGAAAAAGATATATCTATGAAGTGGAACTAATAAAGACAGGGAAGAACTGAACGGTAATTTCTGGCTATTTAGCTGTCGTCCGCCAATTATGCCCAATTCTAGGCGTGGATCGTCCGACATCCGAATCCGAGACTTTGGTCATGGAGTACAATACTCTGCCATTCCCCCAGTGGTTCCCTGCTTTGTCGGTTGTTATCGAGAATACAATGATAGTATGTGGCTCACAGATCTGGTAAAGTAATATTTATGCCCCGTGTTTGCTCTGGAGCTCACTTTAGAGCCCTCTCAGGCATCCGCATAGCGACTTGTAGTATAGAATAAAGTGAAACCGACAAAGATGGAGAAAACCGGAAAGACCGGTTCTGGATTATTAGCCGTCATCAGCTAGTCATACTCAATCCCAGGTGTGAATCTATCGCAGGGAATTATGTTAATTGGTAAAACCCTAACCAGTGCGATCCTCAGTCTCGGTTCCTTGTAGTAAGATAAGAAGGGAGACGCCAGGTGGTATGAAAATAAGTGAACGCGGAAATCATCACAAGCGCCTAGAGCGGT